GTAAGATTTCTCAGAGGACAAGGGGGAAAAAATTACCTCAGCTGTTCTCATAACTTCAGCCGTCGTCGGATGGGAAGCCAGCTAGGTTAAGTAGCATAGCATAAACAGCACAAAACAAAGCGCAGGAGACGCGTTAAAGATCAGCTCGGCGTGGCCGTAAATCGGCACAAAACGCTTATTAAAGTCCACTGGTTGTGTTTTAATTCCTGCTTTGTGGAAAATGTTAGTCTATGGCTGAGTAAGAAAGCAGCAGCCAAAACAAAACAGCTTTAAGGAGGCCTCTTAGCTGGCTAGGTGGTGTTGCTAACGCCCGTTAGCCGCATATCCCTCGCCGTTGTTGGCATATTTCATTTTCTCTTTCGTTTGTATAAAAATATGAGCTGAAAACATGGTCTGAATTGAATGTTTAAGGCCTGGCGGTGTCACATTGTTACGAGGCTGAAGTTAGCTTTCTGAGTCGCCAGCTTCTAGTTCGAATTTTCCCGTTCCACCTTAAATGGTGCAGCAGTTACATTCTAAAGCCGGAGGCGCCAGAATGTAACTGCTGCACCATTTAAGGTGGAACGGGAAAATTCGAACTAGAAGCCGACTTGAGCTTGTCGCTGTTGGTTAGCTGAGTTAACTTCAGACTTAATGTAGGTTATCATTAATGTCTTTTATAACGTGAACGTGTTAATTGTTCTCAAATCAGGTCCAACATTCCCAGGCTTGATTCATGAAGCTGGCAGCCTTTACTGTTTTAACACCCGTGGCTTGTTAATAAGGGGAATTCCACTGACTTTTCAAAATTCCTGTATAATTAATGGTTAAGATGTGAACAGAGTCATTCAGAGTGGTTTGGTGTGAAACGCTCTGTTCTAGAGAAACTTACAGAGTCAGAACTGTTCACAGTGGTGGTGATAGGAACCAGACGTCCACCTCTAAAAGCTCCCTCACAGAAAGTTCCTACATGAAATGGTTATGAATTCACTGCCTGATGTCAGACACTGTTTTATGATAGTTTTGAGAAGATTTTGAACTAAGATTTATTTTTAAATCTTTTAAAATGTGCAAAAAATGACTTATTATTTCAGATTTATTACCATTTTTGTATAATCAACATTCCATATAAACTCAGAAGGCTCGTGTAGGTTCACTGGTGGTTCTGGATAGTAAATAAAATGTCTGTATTTGTGTTGTAGTCATGGCGACCCCTGGTTCCTCTCACTACCACTGTACAGACATCTGAGTCAGTTAAACTGTTTTACATTAAACCACTTTAAATGACTCCGTTTACATCTCATCCACTGAATTACACAGAACCTCGGCTGAATCTGTGGAATTCCCCTTTACCTGTTAAAAGGGGCTTTCTTAAGGTTATATATTGATTTGTGAAGGAGTTCAGAGGCGTATAAAACTCTAGATAAACCCTTCATAACAGCCTGTTTGTGTTGCCCAGTGTCTCTGAGTCGTGCATTGGTCCCACCATGAGAGATTTCAGCATTAATCTTCGCTCCAGCTTCCTCCAGGGATTTCACTGTCGTAATATCGAGAGTATGATTACATTTTTTGAGACGGTTGTTGCACTTTTGTCCCTACTTCTGTTATTTGGGGCTGGATTTTTAAAATTTTGGCTAATTTGGGAAGGTCCCAGTGCTGGACGATACTGGTGAAAATCAGTTTTTTGAATGTCAGCAGTTTTGTAAACGCTTAAAGATGGTTTTTCAAGGGTTCTTTAGTAAAGGCAATGGTCCTGTTTGTGTGTAGAGCCATTTGCATACTTGAGTAGTTCTTTTCATGGTGAAATGGTTCTTGTGGTAGATGGAGAATGTGTTTTATATGGTTTTCTATAGAACCGTTTCGAAAATGGTTCTGTATAGCACCAAAAAAGGGTCCTACTGCTACAAGCTTGACATAGCAGAAACCTTTTTGGTGCTATACAGAACCATATACAACACATTCTCCATCAATCTGAAGAACCCTTTCGCCATGCAACAAACCATTAAGTATACAAATGGTTCTATATACATTAAGAACCAATCCCTTTACTAAAGAACCATCTTTTTAAGTGTGCAGTGTAACTTATCATGGTTATGCTATTAGCTTGTGTTATCATTGTGTCCTGCATAACAAGTCAAGCAGTACTAAGGCGTTATATTATGGATGTTATGCCTGTTATGTAAAACATATTGATATAAAAACCACTAAAGTCAAAACGCAGCATCACTGTAGACTGATACAGCTGATATATCGCCCAGTCCTGGGTCTGAAACTGAAACGGTGAGGTTGGGGAAATATCTGATGATTTGCTGTGTTTCTCCTCATGTATATTTCTCTGTTTCCCTGAAACAGATTTAAGATCTGACTCAGATTTGTATGTTTGGTAACAGCTGTAAACCTGCCAGTTCTTCTAAATGGGGAAGACTTTCTTTTTATTTTTTTGACTGTTGGACTTCAGTTCTGTTTTCTCAGCACTCTGGCACAGCAGTAAAAGAGCGGATCAGCATTTAAAGCCTGAATGGAAGCCGCTTATTCTCCATCGGCTTGTGGTCAGCGCCGTAGTGCGCGTGATTTGTCGATCTGTGTCCATTTCCTCTTCTGTCATGTTGTCTATAGGGGGAACGCAAAGAAGTCTCCGCTGCTGATTTTAACCCGTTAATGTCCAATCGATATTCAAAGGTGGAGCACAATTTTATCACTTCAGTTCTGTGGCTTTTTGGGTCGTTCTACTGAAACGTCCAGTTAACTGATATATTACTTTTGAAAAACAGGTTAGGGTTACAGTTTATTTATATTTTAAAATAAAACAAAGTTATTTTGACAATTACACCTTCTTGAGCCTCAATTTAGCAATATTGGTTTTTAAATCAATCATATTCCAAACACCACAGAAGAGCTCATCCCCACAGTCATGTGTGAAGGCTGAGGCCATATTTAGTGGTAAAAACATGTTTTTCTGCAATTCTAATTGCAATAATCTAAACATGACTGTGAAATATGTTAATTAAATGACATAAAGAAAACAAATGCCAAATAAATATTATAAAATATAATATATAATGAAAGTTGTTGTCCCCAGGAGTCGTGTCACTGGTGTTACCGCGTAGCAAAAAAAATTCTTATTTTGAAATAAAAGTCACACTGATGACATCACTCGACTTCCTTTTACCTGTTTTCTGAGGATCTATGAAGAAAAGCACATGGTGAGTCCACTGTGTCTTTCAGTTATCAGAGATTTTCTCATTTAGCTCATGATTTCATATGAAGCTTTTAGCTGAAGTCACTGGTGTGACCGACTTTATTCTGAGGTAACTGTGAAAAAATAGAACACAAATGGATTAAATTTTATATTTTAGTGGATATTCCCTGATTGACAACATGTGGTTTGATGCTCTGTAGCAGCTGTTTAGTAAAATGCATTTTTTATTAAAAATGTCTCTGGTGTTCCTTTATTATGTGTAACACCAATGAGGATCAGTAACACCAGTGACTCCTATGGACGGATAGAGAAGTGGACGTTTCTGTAGAATGACCCTTTTATGTCCTATTGAGTTTATCTGCAGATGGGTTAAAACTAAAAGGCATGTATTGGGCTCAGAAACCGGGACTATGCAGGGCTTCCATGTTCTGTCCCCCGGCAGTCGGACTCGTTTTGGCTCATCAGAAGCCCATAAATGAACTCATTTTCTTTTCCACAGCTGCCCGAGTGTTTATGGCGTGGAAAATTTGGTCTGAGAGTTGAGCGCTGTGGAGATGTAGCCGTCTGTGTTTATGATTTTTTCCCCCCCTCATGCTGGTTCTTGACCTTAATCAGAGTCTTAGGTTTGTTTTCTTCTCGCTGTAATGAGAAAACACTGAGAGCTTTATGGGAAGGCTGGGAAAGCTGTCCCGGTCAGGTGCCTTTGAGAAGCAAGTTTGTTTATGTTATGATGTATTGTAAGAAACAGGGCTCAGTATCAGAAATCCGTTGTTCTATGGTAAAGACTGAAAGAAACTTGTCGTTCACTGCTAGAGGTGGGCGATGCGGCAAAAATCTGATATTGTGATACTCCAAGACATGTTCACGATAGTCGATATGCCACAATATTAGATTTTTCGGACATCTGATTAGCTGGAACAGTCAAAAACTGTGAACACAGTGATTTTTATTCAATATTTGGCACTAAATCCAGTTAAATTGGGCTAATTTTGCTCTCTTTGTATAACTACTGGCATTACACGAAAAAGAAGTGTGTAAGCATATTTAGCACCTGTGTAGTCAGTCTTATCTGTACCACTGAATCAAGCACTCATCCATATTACTAAGGCTACGTTTACATTTCCAGGTTAAAGTGGCACAAATCCGATTTTTTGCCCAAATGTGACTCAGATCTGATGTTTTCAGAGCAGTGTGGACACGCAAATCTGATCTTTTCAAATCCGAAATATATATAAATATATAAAATCAATCATATCGCTGCTGTTGGAAGAAAACCTTGTATCTGTTTGAAAATACCTGTTGTCCATCAGAGTCCATCCACCCGTTTCAGAAAAGGCTTCAGTAGCTCGTCCACTTGGCCTCGTCCTCTCCCCGCAGTGGGGATCCCTGAAGGCTCTTAAGGGCCGTTATGCCACTTAGTTAAAGTGAAGTTTATTAGACGAGCCCTTGGAGTCTGAGTGAACACAAATGTTGACTTCAGCAACAGAAATCATTGCGATCGGACTCATGAATATAATGATGGCTAAAGCTGTTTATAAGCTAAAGCAGTAAACTACTTCTTAAAATGTTTAATAATTCAAACCTTAACATTTGAATTGCTGGACTTTAGTTTGCAGACAGCTCCATGGGTTACCCGTGACTGCTGGTAACTATCACTTTACTGTACTAGCTGTGCTAAACGCTAACAAAAAGAAAGGCCAAAGTTTACAGCCATACAAAGCACATATTTCATGTAAGTCATGTTCAGACTTCTCAAAAAAAGGTTTTTGCATTGCAGAGTTTGCATGGCAAGCCAGGTAGCCCACTGAGGCTAACCCTGCGG